AAGACCACCATGACTGAGATAGGTGGGAGTGATGGGCGGGTTATGCCGAATTTCGCTTATAGGGATGCGACTGTCTACTGGACAGGACAGTTTCCGGTTTGGAGAAGAACTTATAGATGCGGCCTGCTCACCGGTCTGGCTTTCCTCGTCCTCGTCTTTCTTCCCAGTAACTTTAAGTTTCACCAGATCTTTCTGCTCCTCTTCGTCATCAGACCAAGTGCTGCGTCTCCATGCCCATTTATCCCACAGTTTCTCTTGTCGCTTTCTCGCCATCCTGCTACGGTCTCTAGATTCCGTTAGTACGGCTTGAGGGATCATTTCCGTCCACGCAGTTACTACATTGCTGACTTCACAGACCTCTCGTTCTAAGTTTCTATTTATCAGTTCACACTCCTTCCTAGACAGCTGCAGATGATCGGTTGCTTCGGCCTGATCCAGGGCTGAGTTAGCCTCTTTTATGAGGGTGGAGATTTGCTCCTCAGCAAATCTGGTCCAGAAGCTGTTTTGGATGAGATGTTTAACTGCATCAAACTTGCGATCGCATTCCAATGTTTTCTCGTCAACCTGATCTGCCTTCTTTGTGGCCTCCTCGTCTTCTAATTCTCGTAAGGCCATAGCATACTCAAATCCTGCATCTTCCACTCTGGTATGATCTGCTTTGAACTCTCTCCACTCAGCCTTTAGATCCCTTTCTTCTAGCGCATTGGCCCTGGAGGTAAGATGGTTGGCTCTTTTAGTGAACGCAGTCTGGGCTGCTGAACGCTTCTGCCGTAACCTCTCTATTTTCTCCTTTTCTGCCATCTTGTTAATTTGCTTTTTTTTCTTAGGTTTGCAGACTAGCAAGTGAATAGCCAGTATAGATGGGCTTTTTTTTTTTACTTAACTAGATAAGGTAACCAGTCACTGATTTATTTTCTGGTCTTCAGGCTTTGTCTTGGCTTCAGAACAGGGCCACAATGTTTGAATGGCAGGCCTATGGTGGTTTATGACTGTTCGGATCTTTTTAGATTTTCAGCCATCCGAATAGGCTAGTAACAGGCAGCACACATGGCACGACTCGTGTTTGTCATTAGTCTTGTATTTTTGTTTATTTATACAATTGACCACAGGTCATAAACCTGAAATAAGAAATAAACCAGTGTTACAAATATATCCATTGAATATATAATGCAAGATAAACAAACATGAAATAGTTACAATAAAATAACTAGATTTATTTCTTTTGTAAATAAGAATACACTATCATATAATCCCCTATACAGTTTTACACAGCTGTATCAGAACATCGCAGAAACTACATTTCCCATAATGCATAGCATCGCTCCTGCGCAGAGTATAGCTATCACATGAGTAACCAGGCAAAGTGCATCAATCATTACAATGTTTTACCAAAATGAATGCAACTCCGTCGCCTACCACAACCATCTGCTACATTAGTTTACCTGGTAATTTGTTTATTATCCAGAGTTCGAACATATCGCAAACCGAGAGAACTGAACAGTACACGCACTAACTTAACTACAATTAAGTCTCTCAGCACGGACTAAGCGCGGCAAATGTCAACAATTACACACGCACGAAACTTTAAACATTCCTCAATTAAAGTACAGCAGACCGTACCTCCTGATAAACATTTCAAAAGGTTCTAAATTCGCTACATACCAACGGGCTGTGTGCTCCTGATGATGGGTTGTGTGCTCAGGGCATTCCGTTTGTGAATCAACAATAGACGCTACTCTACGTTTTTCTGAAGCTTACGGCACAACTCCGCATGCTCAAACCATCACGCAACAAATACTCATTATGAAATAAATATAATTCGCTTAAAATAAACCCTACTGTTCTCAATATTTTAAGCTATAACCATGCATTTTACCAATATATTTTTTTTCTAGTGACCCAAAAAACCGAACAATGAGCATTGTAATTTTTGAAGCATAAAGTGGTTCATTCATAAATCCGTGAATAGTGAATCAGCTACGACACCAAAGGCGGCTATCTCATGAATCACACTTGCTAATACATTTAAATTCTCTTACTATTATATAAAAGTAAATATGATGAACAAGACCCACTTTGATTTTCCCCACTGATGATTGAAGAAGCCTGGTATATGTCACCAGAGAGACAGTTTGAGTGAACATTAAGAGGTCAAAGAAAATTAAAAAAGTGAAACAACTTAACTTTTTGAGTTATCTTTTTGCTTTGATTTAAGTTGTATGTACTTAGAATATTACCGTAAGTATATCAACTTAAAAAGTTTTGTTGACATAATTAAATAGACCCAACTTCTTATTTAATGTAAACTGGATTTGAAAATTTTAGTTGAAATATTATACAACTTACTTTTTCAAGTTGTCTGTACTAAACACATATAAACGACTTTGTCAACTGTTTCCCTTATAAATTAACAAATTTAAAGGTCGTCAAATATCCAAGAGTTTCAATAGCCAGTGTTTAACATTTAAATAAACAGGGGGAAAAACAGGTCTCTTTTTGTCAAAGAAAATAACTTTTCAATTGCTCAGTGTTTAAAGGTGACAATGTACTTAAAACAATGAAAAAGGATCCAAATGGAAGTTACATTATACTTCACAGAGACTTCTAAGAACGACGACTTCTCCAATAGGAGGGCTACATCACTGCAGTCGCACGTAACCGCCACTCTTTGTCAGGGTGGGAAAAGAGGAGGAATCAGTTGCAGGAATAACTGATTTATTGAATATCAAAAGGCAAAAACAGGAACACAGGGAGGAATAATATATTTAATATATTTGAATATATTCAGCATCATATTCAAAACAGTAAAAAACATTCTCTCTACTAATCTCTAAAAATCAGGTTAAAAAGTAGCCTACATACACAGAAATTAGAAATATTTAAATACATAAAAAATACTCTATAACAATTAGATGAATACAAGCACTACAGATTGTTTTTTTCACCAGTAGGGGGTCCCATAAACGTTCAAGTGGTGTAACTTCACCAAACATTGCATAAAAAACAGTCCAAAATCTTCTCCAGCTGGTTTGCTGTCAGTTGTCGACTTTGTTGAGTTTAACAATTTTGATGTTCTCCTGTAGAACTTTCCTCAAATTCCCTCTTTTTTAAATAGACAAGATATTATAGTAAGATATTTATTTTAACAATCAAGCTTTCTACATTTCTCACACATATAGAAATTAAATATAAAACAGCAGTTTAACATTTACAAAATCTATAACAGTTAAAAAAAATAGGCTCCATCTAAAAAAAACACTGTAACCCGAAACAATATAATCTGAAAAGGAACTGTTAAAGACTGTACAAAAAAACATGTGGTTTCCTAATGCTTCAACAAAGGTTCCTTTAATAAAATACCTTTTCAACAGGTCAAAACAAGTCGGTGAGAATCGTGACAAAATTATGGAAATTCAGCATCACTCATTGTTATTCAAATGCGACTGCATTTTAGACCCTCAAAGGAAAGAATTTAAAATGGAAAACATTGACACTTCTTAAAATAAAATCACAGATCCTGCTAGCGTAAATGTAAAATTGAAGACATTCATGTTTCTGTGAGCGTTGTGCTGTTAATGAAAACGAAAATACAAAAGCAAAATTGCAAAAATAAACTAAACTACAACTTAAAAATGACGACATTTTATTTTAGATTTTAGTTTTTTTAGTATATCAAATTGTATCAAAAGATATGCCATATATTATACAGTTCAATATAATACTAGAATAATAAACACTGAAAGCTAAAACAAAAACAAAATTGTGTAGAAACAATTTTCACGCGTAAATCGCTTGTAAAACTTTCACAATTAATTACGAAGAAATGACAAATTGAGTTAAACTTGAAATTTTGAAAAGTAGAAAGTTTTGAATGGTATTTTCTTTTAAAACTTACTTCAATAATCTTTGATTTATTAAAATCTTTACTTTTACAGTGTGTCGCAGAGCGAAACCTAAACTGAAAGGATTGATTGAAAATAAAACAGAAATAACTCTTGACTATAACACATCCACTAGTCTTATATAATCTGCAACGTATCCGGGTCATTCTTATTGCCGAGCGAAAGTGCGTCAAACCTCCACAATCCAACAGTGACTGATGTGACAGACGCTTGTGGTTTAGGCTCAATCCCAATTCACCCCTTGGCCCTACCCCTCCGTTTTCCGCGTTCACGTCTAGGCGTAGGGTGTCCCGATTCTTGTTGAGATAGAGGGAGATGACACGTTGAAGTGGTATGCAAAAAGGAATAACATTTATTAAAGTAAAAGTAATAAAGTAAGAGACTAGACCAAAACGGGAACAAGACAACAACAAAATGGCACGAGGGGAGAGCGCGCCCCGTCACGACCGAAGGGAGCTGCTTTTGTTTGCCGGCATCAGCTCTAGCACAGGTGTAAACCATCAGTCATCATGACGTCACTCACTCCAACTCCAACCTACCAAACAAATAACAAAGACAACCGAACCCACACAATATGACCCACACTAGGGTCGTAACAGTAGGGCGAAGGGGTAGGGCTACATAGCCCTCGAAACGGAGATTTTTCAGAGGCACACTCCAAACGGAGGGCTACGAGAAAGTCCGCTGAATGCATCGCGAATTATCGCGAGATGGGTTCGCAAACGGTTAAACATTTAAATGTAGCCCCAGATGACACCGCCATGGACTTTATTTACTTTTATAATAATAATATAGTCATTTAAATTAAGAAATTGTGTAATAAATTACCTTTCCGAAACAGATAAGACATACATTTCGAGGAAGGAACATTAAAATCATCATGTTTCCTTAAAGTTAAGAGCAGCGGGGCTTATTGTCAGTTGTCGTTGTAATGGAGAAATATGTCGCCGACGACTGATGACGTATCGGGTTCATGAAGGGTTGTTCCATTTCGTAGGGGAATATTTCAACCCCTTGGCCCTTGTAACTCTGTTTTAAGGACCAAGGGGTACACTCGAAAACAAGGGGTAGGGGCAAGGGGTGAATTGGGATTGAGCCTTAGTATCTTATCTTAGTATCGGTCTTCGGTGGCTGCATGTAGGCGGGGTTATAGGCCGGCTGATCGGATTTCTCTGGGGGCTGATAAGCGATATCGGGCTGGGCAGGGGGCATCATGGGGTACGCTGCCTGACTTCCGTCATATGGAGCCTGAACACTCGGATATCCAGGGTTTGCTGGAAATGCAAAAAGACAAATTATTTTCAAGGAAAATATCAGTACATGGTCTCAATCTGTCCAGTACTAGGTAGGGGTTGCACGACTACTGATTTCTCCTAGTTAGTTGCAAAACAATAGTTACTTGAGTACCTGTGGTTTATGTTACAGTTTTTAAAAAGGCAAAAAATAACAGTACGTGCCAACAAGTGTTTATTAATTGACATCCCAACAATTATGTCTTACTTGTATTGTAAAAAGAGGGCACACTTCATTTGCACTTACGGCCTTGTGGACTTCACAAGTGTTCAACACTAGACCGCCACAAGTGTTAATTTTTACAGTTAGCCTAGGGGTATTATACATCATTCGCATCCTCATTTACAGTGCATCCGGAAAGTATTCACAGTGCTTCACTTTTTCCACATTTTGTTATGTTACAGCCTTATTCCAAAATTGATTAAATTCATTGTTTTCCTCAATATTCTACAAACAGTACCCCATAATGACAACGTGAAAGAAGTTTGTTTGAAATCTTAGGAAAAAATCACATGTACATAAGTATCAGCCTTTGCGCAATACTTTGTTGAAGCACCTTTGGCACCAATTACAGCCTCAAGTCTTTTTGAGTATGATGGTACAAGCTTGGCACACCTATTTTGGGCAGTTTCTCCAATTCTTCTTTGCAGAACCTCTCAAGCCATTTTCAGATCTCTCCAGAGATGTTCAATCGTGTTCAAGTCTGAGCTCTGGCTGGGTCACTCAACGACATTCACAGAGTTGTCCCGTAGCCACTCCTTTGTTATCTTGGCTGCACGCTTAGGGTCGTTGTCCTGTTGGAATATGAACCGTCGCCCCAGTCTGAGGTCCAGAGCGCTCTGGAGCAGGTTTTCATCAAGGATGTCTCTGTACATTGCTGCATTCATCCTTCCCTCGTTCCTGACTAGTCTCCCAGTTCCTGCCGCTGAAAAACATCCCCACAGCATGATGCTGCCACCACCATGCTTCACTGTAAGGGATGGTATTGGCCAGGTGATGAGCGGTGCCTGGTTTCCTCCAGACATGACGCTTGCCATTCAGGTCAAAGAGTTCAATCTTTGTTTCTCATGGTCTGAGAGTCCTTCAGGTGCCTTTTGGCAAACTCCCTGCGGGCTGTCATGTGCATTTTACTGAGGAGTGGCTTCCGTCTGGCCACTCGACCATACAGCCCTGATTGGTGGAGTGATGTAGAGATGGTTGTTTGTCTGGAAGGTTCTCTCTCCACAGAGAAACGCTGGAGCTCTGTCAGAGTGACCATCGTGTTCTTGGTCGCCTCCCTGACTAAGGCCCTTCTCCCCCGATCGCTCAGTTTGGCTGGACGGCCAGCTCTAGGAAGAGTCCCGGTGGTTCCGAACTTCTTCCATTTACGGATGATGGAGGCCACTGTGCTCACTGGGACCTTCAATGCTTCAGAAATGTTTCTGTACCCTTCCCCAGATCTGTGCCTTCATACAATCCTGTCTCGGAAGTCTACAGACAATTCCTTGGACTTCATGGCTTGGTTTGTGCTCTGACCTGCACTGTTAACTGTGGGACCTTATATAGACAGATCTGTGCATTTCCAAATCATGTCCAATCTACTGAATTTACCACAGGTGGACTCCAATCAAGTTAGTAGAAACATCTCAAGGATGCACTTGAGCTCAATTTTGAGTGTCATGGTAAAGGCTGTGAATACTTATGTACATGTCATTTTTTATTTTTAATACATTTTCAAAGATTTCAAACAAACTTCTTTCATGTTGTCATTATATGTATTCGCACTGCATTCGCCATGTTGTCATTATGCAGTCGTGGCCTAATGGTTAGAGAGTCAGACATGTAACCTGAAGTTGCGGGTTTGAGTCTCAATACCAGCAGGAAATGACTGAGGTGCACTTGAGCAAGGAACCTAAACCCCAATCGCTCCCAGGGCGCAACAGCAAAATGGCTGCCCACTGCTTGTGTGTGTGTCCACGGTTTGCAGTGTGTGTGTGTGTCTGTTCACTACTCGTGTGTGTGTGTGTGTGTGTGTGCACTAACTTGGCCATTACATTTCACTTTCACTTCATTGTCATGTGATCTACCAGTGTCAGTTGCGTCGCTTCACTGCCATTCACAAATCCTCTCCTGTGGCCTCATGGGATAGTTAAGTGTCCATCATTATGCACACTTCAGAATCTCAACGGACGTAGTAGGTCATCCGGATACTATGAGTTCAGAAATACTTATTTTGTCACATACTGTTTTCCCCCTACTATGGAAGTAAGAGATTTTGGACATAGTAACTCTCTTTGGTCGCATTCATGGCTTGCTGGTTTGCTTTTAGTGAATAAAAACAAGTGCATCATTATGGTTACTGTACGCTCGAGTACTCGATGGCTTCCGACAGCCGCGACTACTGGTGGAAGTATTCGACTACCCAACAAACCAGTGAATGCAATCTCTAGTACAGGGGTGCAAAACTCAGCTCTATGCCGAGTGCACGCCACGTGCGAAGTCGTAGCTCTCAGAAAATGACCAGTTTACACGTTGTAATTACAAGTTTTACAAGTACATGAAGGCTTTTTACAGTTCAGAATCGTTACGGTAATTACGACATGGCGTGAACGCACCTTTAGCTTCAACACGCACCTGATTCAGCTAATCATGTCCTTCAGGCTTATTTGAAAACTACAGGTATGTGTGTGTTGGAGCAGGATTGGAACTAAACTGGAACTAAATAAGTTTTTCTCCCCTCCTCTACAGTAGGTCTTCTCACCGGCCATGTGGTATGGTGGTGGGGGTCCTGGTGCGTATGGCTGTCCCTGATATGGTCCCGTCTGCAACGGCTGAGCGCCGTATCCCGGTTGAGTCGGCACAGGCTGGTATGCTGGATACTGAGCGGGCTGCATGACAGGCTGTTGCTGCTGAATGCATTGTGTGTTCATGACTGTGGTTATATGCGTTCCTCCTACCACAGCTGTGGGAAAAACAAGACAGAAAAAAATATAATTCTTATTTTACGACCAGCCTAAATAATGTAACATTGTAACGTTCTATTGACACTAAAACACTTACGTCTGGGTTTTCTGCACATTTTATAGATACAGCAGCAGGGGCAGCAGCAGCAGATGACGAACACAACGCATATGACCACAATCCCCATTATTCCTGAAACAATGGTGGCGACACCACTGCTTTTGACATTGAACAGATTATGAAAAAATATGAAGCAACAAGCATTATATACACTATAATTGTTTATATATTATAATTTTATTTTGAATTATTTTGTTTATTTAAATATTATTATTTTCCTATGCACCTGCAGTTAGTTTGGAGACTGGACATTAAAATTCACTTCTACACTCTTAAAAATAAAGGTTCTTTATTGCCATCTATTGTTTCATGACAATACATGCCATACACTCATGGAAACTTCTCATTGCACAAACGGTTCTTTAGATTATTAAAATATTCTTCACACTGAGAAAAATAAAGTTATTTTTAGAGCCGTTCACTGAAAGTTTCTTAGGGGAACCGGAAATGGTTCTTCTATGGCATTGTTTTGAAAATCCTCTTTTGGAACCGTTATTATTAAGATTGTAGGGGCAGATTTTGATTGCAACTTCCAAAATAAAACATTTGCAGCATTAATAATTAAGATGCTTGCATATTGTAGGTAGTAAATAAAAAGTATCTGTCCATTCACTCTCATGTTGCTTGAAATGCGTATGACTCTTATCTTGTGGAACACAAAATGAGTTATTGTCAAAATATAAAAGCTGCTCTTTTCCGTATAATGAAAACACATGTTGTTCCAGGGCTGCATTTCCCAAAAAGCATCGTAGGCCTGAGTAGATCGTAGAACCATGGGCTCTAAGATCAACTTAGCTCACAATGCTATTGAGAAACGCAACCCTGGATAGTTGCATTGTGCTTGGATTACAATATCAAATCAGGATTCAAACCCAGGGGCCTAATTGCAAACTTAGCCACTAGACTGGCACAAATATATTTGTTTAGTATATATTTACTAAAAACATTTGTTTATTTAACAAAAACACTTTTTCTTTGGTCCCGCATTTTCTTGCCTTGGACACCCTCTTAATCCCCTCAACAACAAAACAAGGTGGATTTTGCATCATGTTCCTTCTCTCTTGCCTCATTCGTCTTTGAATTGACTTTATAGAAGTGAACGCTACAGCTTTCACAGCCAAAAACTTGAACTATTCATTCTTTGTTCTTTAAATATCAAGCAAAGCATTTTCCCACCTTGCACTACACAGTGGATGTTTAAATTGTATCGTGTCCATTGTCGTCAGTTTGGTTTGAAATGTGCTGGGGAGGGACAGAGACGCATTCGGAAGTGGATTTTTAGAAGTGCTGGGTACAATGACGCATTCAATTTTTTCTCTCTTTTGCACAGGTCATGTTTTGAAAGACGATGTCCTGTAGCTTACTAATGTAAATAAATAAAAAATTATACAAAAATGTGATGATGTCCGACTCGTTTTATGAAGAAGAAATGACCCACTATTCTACTTCATAAGTAGGCCACCATGTTGACAATATGACATGACATGGTTTAATGTACCTAAACAATGATTACCAAATTTCTCTCTCATATTGCCCCTCATAACCACTGAAAACGGTAAAAAAAAATCTACCCCAAAGTCCAATTATTATGGACGTTATCTGACATTAAGCGTTTCTGCTTCACATTTTCAGCAGGGCAGCAGCCAGCGGAGCGGCTGTGGTTTGACTCCCCGCGGTTCTCATGGGCTTTATATATAGCCTCATGGGCATCAGTTTGGTTTGAATTGTGTGTGCGTGTGTGCATAAATAACATAGTTTGGGAAATGAAACTAGACAGTCTAGGTTTGAAAACTTGTGATTATGAAGTAACGAAGAACCAATCAAATTTGTAGGGTAATTATGTAATGCATCATGTCATTTTAGCCCATTCTCCTTTTCTATAAAAACTGTTGTATTTGTGTTTACTGGTGGGATTCTCAATGGGATTTGTCTGAGATCCTCCGGCCATGCTTATTGCTTCTTTTTGGGAGATTCTCTGAGAACTGCTCGAGAACTCCAGGCCGTAATAAAGAGCATTTAAACGACAATTACTCAAGTCTGTCTGTCATTTACGCTGCGCAAGCTGTGGGTTGACTCCCCACGGTTCTCATGGGCTTTATATATAAGTCCTAACGTGAAAAAGCTTTACGTGGTTTAATGTAGGCTACCTAAACAACGATCACCAAATTTCTCTCCTCATAACCACTGAAAACTGTCAAAACAATAGGAAAAAATTCCTATTGTAGGAAAAAGCTTAACGGTTTAATGTACCTAAACGACGATCAGTGATCACCAAATTTCTGGTTAGATTTTTTGACAGTTTTAAGTGGTTATGATGAGCAATATGAGAGAGAAATTTGGTGATCGTTGTTTAGGTACATTAAAACACGTAAAGCTTTTTCACGTTAAGCGTTTTAGAATGTCCCAAGGAAAACAGGCCTGGCCTACCATAGGCTACGTGTTGAAGTTCAGTGGGAAAATGTGTGGCTATGTCTTTTTTTGCTAATATTTTGATTTAATTCCCAGTACAATTGACCATATCTACAGACAACACAAATTCTGATTGAAGATTCAAGATTGAAAAAGCAAAAATATGTGTCGCACAGATGAACGCTATATGATGACTGACATTATCCAATCATGTGCGATTCCCACACGAGGGATTCCAATCAAAGTAACAAGTTCCATTTGGCGTGCCAACCGCCCCTCCCCCAACCTAGAACGTATCCCAATGTTACAGTTGTTGCAGTGTTATGAACAGAGAAGCGTGTATAGCCAGCACAGCAGTAGAACGGCTAAATTGAGCTCAAGGTTTTCACACAAAAAAGTGGTGGGTACAAAATGACTCATGACGAAATCTGGTGGGGACGCGTACCCACCGTCCCCACCGAAATCGACGCCTAGCCTAAGTCCTAACGTGAAAAATCTTTACGTGGTTTAATTGACCTAAAAAACGATCACCAAACGAATACAGTTGTTGCAGTGTTATGAACAGAGAAGCGTGTAGCCAGCGCAGCAGCAGAACGGCTAAATTGAGCTTGAGGTTTAAAAAAAGAAAAGAAAAAAGTGGTGGGTACAAAATGACGAAATCTGGTGGGGACGTGATTTCCCACCGAAATCAACGCATATGATCGTGTCAATCTGGGGGATGCATCTTGCAAACTGCAGTTTAGTAAAAACTACCACAATCTCTGTATGAAACGATGGGCGGAACGACACACAAGCAAGACAAAACCTTCAAGTAACACACATCGCAAAAACATTAGGTAACGCTTTAGATTACAGCCCGGAAAGTACTGCGTAATTAAGATGAATTTACAGCGTAACCTTCTGTAATTATAATGTACCTATTATGTAAATTTTGGGGAATAAAGGGGTAACAACCAGGAGAATTAAAAAAATATTTATACTGTAGGCCTAAGTATTATAGAACTATGGGGTACTAATTGTACTATTATGATACAACAATCTTACATTTGGGAGCAATTTAGTGAGAACACTGCGTACCTTTTTGTAATAATTGTGGGTCCCACTTTATATTAAGTGGCTTTAAGTACAATGTATTTACATCGAAAAATAAGTACAATGTATTGTGTTCATGTTGTATATTGTTGGTATTGAGGTGGGATACAGGTAAGGTTAGGGACAGGTGTGGTGGTATGGTTAGGTTTAAGGGTGGGTTAAGGTGTAAGGGAAAGGTCAACAGTGTAATTATACATGTAATTACATAAATGAAATGCAGATTTTCTAAATATAAGTACAATGTAAAAACTGGTATGTACCGTACACAATAAGTCCATTGTATCAAATTATTAATTTCAATGTAAGTACATTGTACTTAAAGCCACTTAATATAAAGTGGGACCTAATTGGGTACATACTGTATAGGCTTTTTTATAAATTACAGGGTACATATATCTTCGCATTTATACCGTTTTTTCATAGCAAAAGTGCAGATGTTTAAGTTTGGGCTTACATGTTTCAAGGCAAGTAAAGCTAAAACGATTGCAATTTAAATATATCTTGTTCCATGTGGTTACAGGGTGGTACTTGTATAATAAATAAAGGTTTCCGAGTCAGTGATAGAAGATTGTGTGTATGCATTTACTTACCCTATGACTACATGGAACAAGAGGGCTACATGCCAACGGCTGTTGTGATGTACTTCCGCTGAAATGTCAGCCACCACGAATACTTCCGGTTAGCCTAAGCGTCGACTTTTGGTAGCTGCTTTAGTTGATATAAAGCAGGGGCGTAGCCATAAAAATACATTTTTAGTTTATTTTTATTATTCAAATGTATTTATGAAAATATATTAATATATACCTGATTTATTGTTGACTGCTGTGTGTGTTTAATTTATTTTCCGAATAAAATTTAACTGGTGAAGCAAGTTGTAGAAAGCCTCCCTCCAGAACGTTATTCGCCTTTGGCTAAGCCCCGCCCCCCTTAGTTACTGTTGCTACGTCCGACAAACAAACTTCATCTGGGCTCTGGTATCAACATGGCTTATGCTGTGACAGCTCTTCCTGCTGAAATTTTATCAAACTTTTATAAAGCAGCAAATAAAGTGTCCGATAGAAGTAGGCAAAAGGGGCTACAATATACGTTCGAAGGCTATATTCACGACATACAGGTGAAACGCAAGGAACAACAAGGCATCCAAATAGAGGCAAAAGCATACCGGTCACAGTCAAAAAATGAACCACCGCATATCCTACTAATCAAGACAAAGGCTGGGACTAACAATATCAAGGAGCAACACTGTTCATGCAAGCTGGGTAGGTCTCTATTCACTTCTATAATCGTTATTACAAAGCAAACGAACTACGTGAGTATAACGTTGTATTTATTAGAAGCGTGTGCTAGATGACACTTGTCAGGATTTGACTTCGGTTTTGGGAAGGTTAAAAAACGGACAACCCCCTCCAACCTCTCTGGGAAACGTGTATCTGTGTTACAAATGCCCCAGACACAACGTTTAGCATATTTTTGATAAAACTACGACGGTAATAGCCTGCCGAGACCAAAAATAAGAGACACCTGTGTTAAAGTCAATGGAGCGCTGTGAAAAAGTGTCGGACCTCTGTGGGAGCTCGTTCTTGGCT